ATCATGTTTATAGAAATAGGGCTTGAAGGCTCCCTTTATATAATCCTCTATATGTAATCATATAATAGTTGATAGTATGAGTTTCTAAAGAATATTTCCCTACATATATACGGGTAATTATATCTTAGTTTATAATTGGAGGAATGCCTAGAGTGGACACAGTACAGAGCATGAATTAAGGGATAAGCAGCTTATAATCAGAGGAATGCCTACAGCAGACACAGTGCAGAGCATGATTTAAGGGAAAACAGTTATACCAGGACAAGAACCCACGGCCCAGGTGGCAGCGTTCAGTATTGTAAAGATACCCGCTGTATGGCAGGCTTGGGGCGAGAGCCACTCCTCCTGATAAAGGAGTTGTAGGACCTTGCTCCAGTTCTTATGGAAGGCCGTCCTCAGACCTGCAATCCACCTTGGTGACTGTGAACTTTAGCAGCTCTTGCTACTGTGCTGCTTGAAAAGCATCTTCCCACAGAACCCACTGGAAGCTGCCAGGAGGTGGCGGTAACCTTGACAGCTCTGTCATCGCTATGTGACTTAAAGCATCCCCCATAAATCTTAGAAGTAGTTTGCCCATAGATAGAAGTATCGCACACTGCACCCTCTTCACTGCGCACGGCCCACCTTCAAGCCTCGGTGACCTAATGGGGGTGGACCCCTTACTGCACACGGCCCTTGCCTTTGTGGGAATGGGCCCCTTGCTGCGCACTGTCCACCTCCTGGCCTAGGTGACCTAATGGGGGTGGACCCCATGTTTTATTGCTTACAACCCTATCACCATCCTTAAAGATGACTTCACTCACTGCCCTGCCCCCCTAACCTATACACAATAAGTACTCACGCTTCTGGACATTCAGGGCCTCGCCTGACTCCACTCATAGGTGGCGTGGCCCCCGGAGCCCAGCTGCGTTTTCCTTGTACTTCTGTGTCCTGTCTCTTTATTTCTGGGATCCTGCGCCTCAGCACAGCATGAGGCTCACCCCACGACCCTGTGGGGCCCTCAGCCCTACAGGCCACACCAGGCCTTCCAGACATGCTGCACCATGACATCACGCCGCAGACACCCAGCAACAGAGGACGCCCCTTACTCCACGGACACCCCTCACTCCACAGACATCTCTCACACAGGGACGCCCCTCACACAGGGACGCCCCTCACACAGGGACGCCCCTCACACAGAGGAGCAGCCATAGCCACAGTGATGCCCACAAAACAGGACAAGCCCGGCTCTCAGGACGGTGGCGTCTTGGTGGGAGCCAGTGAAGCCGGTGAGACTCCTGAGAGCGCGCGCCTGTTCCAAGCCGGGGTCCTGGGATGCTCCCGGTGGGGACCCAGCGGCACCCGCCCGCGGAGGACGAGGAGGAGGAGGAGGGGCCGCCGCTCCGGAGCTGCGGGCCGGGGCAGGGCGGATTCTGGGTGGTTCCCGTGGGTCCCCTTCGAACGTGCTGGGAGCGGATTGTATAGGCGACGAAACTGTCCTCAGGGCTCCGCGGCCCGGAAAGGTTGGGAGGGGATGACCGTGGCCCCGGGCGTCCACCTGCATGCTCAGATCTGAGCCCCCAGACTGGACGGCGCTGGCCTCGGGGGTCCAGGCTGCTCCATGAGCCCGGGCAGTCCGGTGGGGCCCGTGACCCTTGCTCCGGCAGCCGTGGGCACCCGTGGGATGTCCCCACGTGCACTGGCCTGCCCCGGGCAGCGGCGGCTCCCGCCAGAGGGTCCCAGCCATCTCGGGCGGACGCAGAAAGAAAGGCGAGGCAGGTCAGCCGTGGAACCTGGGGGCCGGGTGAAGTCCCTGCAGGCTCCTTGGCAGAGCCCCCATCCCTGGAGGAGGCAGGCAGGTGTCTGCCCCACAGACACCCCAAGAGAGGACACTCAAGCTGGCGTCCTGTGAGGACGGCGTCCAGCAAACCACACTGGCCCCAAGGCCTCCAGGGAAAGTGGACGGGTGCTCTCAGCGGCCACCACTGAGGCAGCACCAGGAAGGCGCGGTGGTCCCCAGCGGGCCGGCAGAGGGCAAAGGTGTGGGCACACCAGAAAGGAAGGCCAAGGGGAGCAGAGGGAAGCCCTTCTTTGTGGAATGGCGAAGGCGACCAGGCTGCCCTATGATGCAGACATCTTAAGGCGCTCGGGGATTGTGAACTGGCCTGGGGGTGGGGTCTCAGGTCTTGGAGCTGGTGACTCCGGCTCTGGAGCGACCCCAGGTGGGCTGTGCCCCCCCATAGATGGTGGTTGGGGGGGAAGAGTACAGTGGGCGTTGGGGGCATAGGGGCCACTTAGGGTTGCCGTTTGAGCTGAGAGTGGGGTCCAGATTCAGCTCTGCAGTGCCCCCCAATCCCCACTGTGGGTCCACCAGGCGAGAACACCCTGAGGACACTCGGGAGGTGAGGGTCAGGTGTGTCCTGCCCGGGAGGAGCTCCGGACCGTCTGGGAAGGAATGGGTGAATCGGCTGCTCTTACTCCCGAGCTCCTGCCCAAAGGAGCCCTGGGGGATCCATCCCTCCGCCTCAGAGGACTCAGAGGACTCTCCAGACACTGAGCCCACGTAGAAGGAGGGCACGCAGCCCTGATCTGCAAGCCAGTGGGGCTGAGGGTCAAGCCGTGGCCTGGTATGCTGCCGGCGTCCTGTGTGGGACACATGGGGGAGACACTCTGTACTTTAACGGGTGAATTGTATCTCAATAAAGCTGTTAAAGAATAAGTGTAAAATCTTTGCCTGGTAACCCAAGTTCACTGGAACACACAGGAGTTTCCGCTGTTTGGACTCTGCCTGTGCCCAGTTCCAGCTGACAAGGCGGGGGTGAGGGCACAGCAGGCAGTGCAGGCCCAGCCTCACCGGCTCCTCCAGCCTGGGTGCTCTGTGGCGTGTGGTGTCGGTGCCATGGGTGCCCCCACTCCAACTGCCCTCTCGGGACACTTCCTCCCCAGTCCCCTTGACATCTGCATTTAACAAGGACTGTCAGCCAGCAGAGGAGTGAGACACAATGGCCCTTCCCCACCTGGCTGGGGCTCCTGAGCCAACCTCCCACAGTGGGACCTCCCCAGGGTCTTGGGAGGAGGGCCCATGCGTGTGTGAGGCAAGGCTCCCAGCCACGCAGGGGTCATGAGCCCACCAGCAGATCTTCACCCAGGGCGGCTCACCAGTCCTCAAGTCGGGGCGGGACCTAGAGGTGTGGAATAGAGCTGCCATCCTCAGGTGTGCTACTTGGCCTAACGTGTAGTAACAAGACTATTATTGTCACACACGCAGTAGGACCCTGAGACCACAGGAGATGATGTCTTTACTTTCTAAGTCGGGAGTTAAAGACCACATGGGGTGGTGTGAGGAAGAGGGGAGAGAGGAGGGGCTGGAAGAGCCTGGGAGGGAGGCGGCAGCCCTTAAGCTGGATGCCCGGATGCCACACCCAAGGGCACTCCCAGCCCATCCCAGGCAGGGCCTGGCCGGATGCAGCCTTCTTCCAAGGGCCAGAGCTGCCCGCCTCCAGGAAGCAGTCCCTCCACTGGGGCTCCTCAGCGGATGTTGGGAATGGGTCTCAGGCAGGACCACTCCCAGCAGGGTCTGTGCACCCTTGTTCACGCGCTCACCTGCAGCTCAGGTCCCGTGGACAGCTGACACGGGGCTCTGCCAGGGCTGGGGCAGGCTTCTGGTTCAGTCACCTGAGCAGCCTGGGCCTCTGTAAAATGGAGTGATGGCAGCATCTGCCCCAAGGATGGTCTGAGAATGGGAGACAGTGGCTGGGGTGAAAGGGCTTGGCTGGACGTCAGCTCCAGAGGTGCAGGTCAGCGCCGGGCGGCCAGGGTCTGCACTGCTCAGCTGAGACACAGGGTTCCAGCCAGGGGAGTAAGCACAGACACCGGGCGGGGCCTGCGCCAGCTCAGCAGAGGCCTGGCAGAGTGGGGTCTGGGCAGGTGAGAGGTCTCCCACCACCTCCAGGTTCAGGACCTGCCCTGGCATTAGGTGAGGTCACTCACTGAGGCTGGAGACGTGCTGGGGGGGGTGGGCGCAGACGCCGAGCTTGCTCTTGAAAGGCTGGGGAGAGACACTGCATCAGGGCAATAGGCTTGGCAGGAAGGAGGCTCAGGGGTAGGGAAGCCAGAAGGGTCCCAGAAACAGGAGCAAACTGGGGCTCCAGGAGGAGGTGAGGGAAGATGGTTCCTCTGAAGGTCAATAGGGAAGACAGCCCTGGGTGCCTAGCCAGGGTAGGAGGCAGGGAGGGGGCCAGGCCTGGGGGAGGGGTCTCCAGAGCCACGGGGAGGAGCTGGAGATGAGGCCAGGGCGGGAGCTCAGGCCACTAAGTTGGACACGTGGAGAAGGCAGCGCAGGTGGCCTGGCCGGAGGCCCCTGGGAGGCTCCCACACCCTCAAGGCACAGGTTGGCGGAGACCCTGCCCAAGCTAAGGGCGAAGCAAGGGGTGCAGGGCCCCTCCAGCTTCCGAGGGGCAATGATCGTCCTTCATCCATGTGGGGCGCCACGGGAGGGCGGGGATCTGGTCCTGCACGCAGACCCCGCCCTGGGCTGCCCACACCCCACCGCCTCCCCCGCAGCCAAGGGAGGCGGGTCCTGCCCTTTAAAGGGAGGGGCCCTCAGGCTCCTCTGGAACCGGGGATCCCCGACCCGGGACGGCCTGGGGAGACGTCGGAGCTGACTCCCGCCAGGCTCCGCTGCAGCCCCTGACCGCCCTCGCGGGTGGCCGGGCGGGGTCCTGGCCGCTCCGGGGACTCTGGGCCGGGGCCGGGGGCGGGGCCGCTGCGCTGCGGACAGGGGCCGCGTGGGGCGCTGCGGGAGCCGCGGTTAAAGCCGCGGAGCGGCGCGCGCGCTCGGAGAGAGCCCGGCCGCCGCTGCCCCCGCTGCCCCCGCTGCCCCCGCTGTCCCCGCTGCCCCCGCTGCCCCCGCTGCCCCCGCTGCCCCCGCTGCCCCCGCTGCCCCCGCTGCCCCCGCTGCCCCCGCTGCCCCCGCTGTCCCCGCTGTCCCCGCGCGGCGCACAGCCGTATCCGCCCGAACCCCAGCTTGCTCGCGGTGCATGCGGCCCCCGCGGGCGCCCGGCCCCGGAACTCAGCGCGGCACCTGAGCGCGGGCGCGGCGGGGCGATGGGGACGCTGCAGTCCAAGCACGGTGAGCCGCGGGCCGGGGCCGGGGGCGCGGGGAGCGGGGACAGCGGGGGCCGGGGCCGGGGGCGCCTCTCACTGTCGCTTCCTCTCTCCGCGCCGCAGCCGCCGCCGCCCGCAAGCAGAGGGAGAGCCCAGAAGGTGAGCGGGGGCGCGGGGGCGGGGGCGCGACCCGGGCCGGGACCCTCGGAGCCCGGAGTCCGCGCGCGTCCTGCCCAGTAGCCCGCGGTGGGGGGACGGGACGCGGGTCTCCAGGAGCACGCGGGACCCCCACGCCTACCCCTGCGCGCTCTCCGGGCGATGGGGACCCCGCGAAGGCGCAGCGCCCGCGGGGCTCACAGCGCGCCTCCTTCCCTCCTCCGTGCGGGTTTCCCGTGCGTCCGCCCCCGGCCCGCAGGGGACAGCTTCGTGGCGTCCGCGAGCGGCCGCAAAGGCGCGGAGGAAGCGGAGCGACGCGCGCGGGACAAGCAGGTAGGCGGCGGGGCGGCGGCTGGGGTCGCGCTGCGCACCTGCCCGGGGCAGGGAGTGCTGTCGGAGCTGTTCCGGGAGTCGCACGGGGACAGACGGGGCGTGGGTCGCCATGGCCGCACGAGTGACTTAGGGGCCAGGAGAGCTTGTCCCTCCCCGGCCTCCAGGACGTCTGGGGGTCCCATGGGGCGAGGCCTTGTGGGTGTCCCGTGCTGGGTGGTGGGTGGGGGAATAGGAATTCCTGGTCCTAGGCTGGGGGCGCGGTGGGAGCTCCATGTTTAGGGCTGAAGGAACTGGAGAAGGGCAAGGGGCTGGACCGAGACGTCCCGTACTGAGGGTCCTGGGGAGCACAACTGCAGCACCCCACCGGGAGGAGCTGGGGGAGGGGTGGGAGCTGCAGGCCTGGGGCATCGCTGGTCATCGCCTCCGGGCTCGCTCGGGCAAACATGGCCAGAGTCAGAGGCGTGGTGCCTCCCATCTCTGGGAGGGGTGACCACAGGCCTGCCAGAGGCTCAGGAGACAGGGACATCTGCACAGCTGGCGCCACCTAGACTGCAAGGCTGGCTCAGGACCCAGGTGGCCCTGAGGGTGGGTGAGGAAATCACTATGTCTAGGAGCAGAGAAATGTCCAGGCCTGCGGCCCCGGAGGGACCTGGGGTAAGTGTTTGCTGAGGTGAGAAAGCTGACCTGAGACGTCATCGATGTCAATGTGAACTGGATCTGTGTAGACAGCCCCGCCAGGTGGCCAGGCCCCCACCTGCCCCCTGCTTCCTCTCCACTGTCCCCAGAGGCCCCCAGACACAGAGCATGCCGGGGACGCAGTCAGCTTCTTTTCTGGAAGGTCATTGTTCTGTCAGTTGATCAAAAAAAGCTCTGTGTGTTCAGAGACATTTTCCCTAGCTCTGTCTTGAGAAGGGGCTTAGGTTTCCTTGGAAATTAACATGCGGTAGAGTTAGGATTGCTGCTTCCCGAGAGTGACCGTCTAACACCGGTGACGGTGGGGTGCACGCTCTAAGGTACAGAGACTTGGCTGGTCCTGTGAGCCTTTGTCTGGGATTGGGAGACCAGGGTGAGGCCATCCAGGGAGCTGCCCTGCCCGTGGGTGATGAGGTCTGTGAAGCTCTCGAGAGCAGCCTGTGGGGGATCCGGAGTCCCTGGGATCCCGTGTGGTGGAGTGTGAAGCTCTGGAGAGCAGCCAGTGAGGGATCCGGGGTCCCTGGGGTCGCGCGTGGTCAGCAGGAGTGTGACGCTCTGGAGAGCAGCCTGTGAGGGATCCGGGGTCCCTGGGGTCGCGCGTGGTGAGGAGTGGTGCCATGGCCGCTGCGCACTTGTGTGGCTGTTTCTAAAACTGTTAGTGACTGTGGGGAGGATGGCTCCAGTCCTGAGCATAGGCTGCCCCCCACCCTCACCCTCACCGCCCGGTCTGCAGGACCAGCTTTAATTTTCCTGACGCTCCCTGAGGCTGGCAGAAAACGGTTCTGAAGACAGACGAGTCGCTGTTAGTTGGAAGGTTGCTGTGAACAGAGCATGGACTTCCAGTAAGCAGCCCCAGGAGGGTGCACCCAGGCCAACTCCAGAGGCAGCCTTGAAGCGAACACTCCTCACGGACCTGCCTGTGCATCAAGGAGGCTGTCGCCCTGGAGGGCTCTTGCCCACGTCAGCAGGAGGCAGCGGGCACAGCTCTGATTGGCCCATCTATGGCAGGTCCGAGCCTCCAGGATGCACACGCAGGTCCTGCCCCCGTGCCACAGCCCTTCTGGATGTGCCAACATGGCGCCTGTCTCCCAGAAGGAGGCAGCCTCACAGGGAGCCAGGATGGCTGCAGCCGTAAGACCTGCTGGCTCGGGCCAGGGCCCAGGCCTTCACCTGCCCTGGCTTCCGGCAAACTCCCTGCCCTCAGCACAGCCTTGCTCACAGGAACCGGGAGCTCAGCCCCATCACGTGGCTTGGTGTCTTCTGACTGGAGCCAGCCACAGTGCCCCAGACGCTCACATGCCTGCAGCTGGCCCTCTCCCAGAGGCAGGGGTGGGGCTGCTCCCTTCCCAGTCGCTGGGCACCCAGGAGCCACCTCTCACCTGTCCTCTGTGGGACCAGAGGGCTGGATATGCCAGTGGGATGTCCAGGTCTCAGTCAACAGGAGCCGCTTCTTGTAGAAGACCCTGGGAAATTTTTTATGGCTTCACGGGCAGTCTGCACACCATCGCATGAACACAGAAGCAGGGTGGGGGCAAGATACGCATTTGCAGGAGGGACTCAGGCTGGTGCATGTGCATGTGTGACAAGAGACAAGGCAGCGTGGACCACACTCTGCTTGGTGCTTCACCACGTGCCATGCAAAAAGAGAGGCTGTCGGTGCCCCAGTCCAGCCAGCTCTGCATTTGGGGGTGCAAGCCACCCCAAGATGTCCAGGAGAAAGGCAGCCTCCAAAGGGAGCAGGGGTGCCTGGGGACACCTCGGGCACAGACTCCGAGGGCCGACCTTCTGTCTTCTGTGACCCGCGTTCCAGGACCCTGTGGACTCGTGGGGCTGAGGCCCACATAGGGCCCTGTCAGAGCCAGCGGCAGCTGCGGTGCATCGTACCCACCCTTTGCTTTCTTTGTGGTGCCCTCTGCGTGCCCAGCCCTTGGATACAGGCATTCGTGTTCCTACCCTGGGACGTGGCTGGGCTGTGTGGCAAGGCCGGCATAGACGTCCACAGAGGGTCCTGCACAGAGGAATGCCAGGCCACCTGCCATTCCTCCCTTGTTGTGGGAGGTGTTGAGGTCACCTCTGGGCACGCAGCCGATGGCATCTGATGTCCAGCACCTGAGAGCCATGGGAGGGGCCAGACACCATGTGCGTAGTCTCGCCTCAGCCTGGCTCGGGGCCGCCGAGGGCCGTGCGTGCACCCGACCTCTCCTTCACCAAGCTGCAGGCCTTCTCCATCCCGAAGCTAGGGCTCTGGGGTGCTGACTGAAGAGGCTGCCGGAGGCGCCTGGCCATGAGGTTGGGGCAGCGGATCCGTGCTGGCCATGGTGGAGGCTGGAGGCTGGCCAGTGGCATGGTGCTGCCCGCTGGGTCGCTGTGCCTGGGCCTGTGTTCTCACGGGCAGCTGCTTGGCTTCAAGTCGGCCCCTGTGTCCGCGAAGTGCACTGTGACTGCATCCTGAGAAGCTGGCGTGTGGGCGAGGCCGGTGTCTGGATGGAGGCGCTGGAGCCCAGAGCATCCCTGCCGCGGGGCCTCAGGCTGGAGCTGGGGGTTTCACAGATGAGGCCAAAGAAAGAGCCCGCAAGACCACAGCCGCATCTGGGGCAGCTGTCACCTGGGGACTTCCCAACAGCTTCCTCAAGCTGAACTGCCCATTTTGCTGTTGGATGAGCTGCCGTTTGAGATTCCTGGGGGTGAAAGGAGACGTGTGGCCGCGCCTTGCCCTCCTCACCGGCCGAGCCACCTCGGGACGCCTGTGCGGCCCTGTCCTCCTTCCTTCCTACTTGTGGCGGAATCATCTGAATTCCTTGGAGGTTTTCATCTTGTTTCGGCTGAAGAGCTTACATCTTTCTGTTTCTCGAAAAACCCAGGCTGGCTTGCAATCCTCAGAAACCAGTCATCAGCCCTGCCGCTTCGGGCCGCCCTGCGCCTGCTTCAGCCGTGTGGGTCCATCAGACGCTTGTGCGACTCCCGAGAGCCGTGGGAACTGCGGCTGGTGAGGGCTGAGGCGGGGGCGCCACAGAGGGCAGGGCTGTCTCGGTGCCGTCTGCGAGTGCGCGTCTGTGCCCTGGGCCCTGCCTCGCCTCCGCGTGAGCAGCCAGGTGACGTTGAGACTGGAAGTGAAGCTGCTTCTGCCTCCTACGAGCTCCTGGCTCTCCTTTGCCCCCGGGCGGCCACTGCCTGTTCAGAACCGGCTGGAGCAGGCAGCAAGTCCACGGCCGCCTCAGGTCCAGGCCCCGACGAGGTGGGGGGAACGTGCACCTTGCCACTGTCCTCCTGCCTAGGCTGGGGTCGGGGATTTGGCTGTTTCTGTTTCTCAGGAAGCCAGGAGTCTGGGCCAAGGGTTCCCGCCCTCTACCCCTGCTGCGAGGCCTAGGGACACCCACCTGGTTGGCCCTGACCAAGGCGGTGAAGGAAGTCCTGGTCAAAGACCACAGCTGGGAGCCACCACGTGGCCGTTTTACATGTGGCCCCCTCGCCAGCACCAGGTTTCTGCAGAGGCAGCTTGTGTGGTGGCTTGACCGCCTCTGGACCCGGGCTGCCACTCACAGCATGGCCACGGCCATCATGCCTGGGCCTCTTCTTCTCCCAGAGGCATGTGGGTCGCCTGCTTCCCCTTGTCCTTCGAGGAAAGACACAAGGGACAGAAGGACCTGGGACGGTAGCTGGCACGGGACTGCTCCATGCTCCACAAGCCGGGCAGCAAGGGCCACCTGGAGAGCAGCCCCGTGCGGCCGGGCCCCTTATTGTGCCTTCCTGGGCTTTTGCCACACATGCCGGGGTGCTCCAAGCCAGAGGGGTGCGTCCGGCCGTGAGTTCGTACCAAGGTGCTGTGGGCCAGACCCGTCCTGGGTCGGGGCTGTCAGTGAGCTCTCACGGGTTGGCAGGGCCTGTGGCCTCCCGGTGTGGCTGCGTGTGGTGGGAGCAGAGGTCAGTGGGTGGGAGTGGGGGTCATGCCCTCCTTGTAGAGAGGGAGCCTCTGGCCTCCCAGCTGCTGTTCTTGAGTTGGCAAAGGCATACTTTATGGAAGCAGCAGTTCTCGGGGCCAGGCACACCTGGATTTGGAGGTGCCCACTGAGTCACTGGGTCCCCGGAGTTCTAAAGGCTGAGCCCCGTAGCCTTCCTGCCGGGCTCTCAGACAGATGCCTGCATCAGAGAGTCCCTGGGTTATGAGAGGCCTGTGACACCCCAGGGCGTTGTTGGGGAGGCCTCGGGAGGCCCACAGCAGCCCCTGCTCGGGTGAGGTCAGCTTTTCGGGGTGGCCCTGCCGCTCATGCCGCTACAGGCACTTCAGGGTGGGCTGCTCCCAGCAGGAC